GGCACTTTTGGAATGGCTGGCCCAGGGTAGGCTCCTATCCACTTAGAGACCTGCTCACTCCTGAGTCTGAAAACAAGTACCTTCCAGGAGGGAGTGGGCCCCAGGTTGAGGGCAGGGCAGAGAGCAGTGACCAGGCTCTCCTCCTACAGCAGTGGCCACTGGCCCTACCCAGGTATTTCCTCCCCATCCGCCCAGTTCCACTTCCTCCGCCAGGGCCCTCTCTGGGCAGGGCACCAGGCCATGCTCTTCCTATGTCAGCGGGCTTCCTGGTGTGCTGAGGCTCCCACCCAAGCTGCCCTCAGGGCCACATAGCTTACCTCTGGCAAGATGAAAGGACTCAGGCATATGGCCTGGCACTGGGGTGTCCCCTTACGTGCCAGTAGCTCTTGTTCACACATGAGCACCACAGGAACAGTCCCAAGATGGGTTTCATCTTTGCAGGGCTGAGGGAAGAACACCTTGCCCACACCACAGCTCTATGTCCTGTACTCGCTACCCACAGTCGGCTGAGGGAGCTGCCACATGCCCCTGGGCAAGGCCCCAGGTTCCAGTTCTTGCAAGTCCGGGGGCCTTTATGATCGACTCCTACCACCTCACAGCTGGCCTCATCCACAGTCTGTGCACATTGGCTCACACACACACACACACACTACCTCATACACACTTGCATGATACTGTCACACACACACATGCACATCATATTCTTACACTCATTCTCACAATACACATATCAACACACAGGGCATTCACACACACATACTTACACTATTATTCACCCTCACATACTCACAATATACTGTCTCACATGACACATAAACACACTCCCTTACACACTCACTCTCACTATATATAAACTCACACAATACACATTTACACTCACACACACACTATGCTCACCCTCACACATGTACAATATACTCACGTCACACAATACTGATACACTCGCAGTACTCACCTTTATTCACTCACAATACACACATAAGTACACACAATATTCATGCACACTTATGCTTACATACACACGTGAACACATTCACTAGCACCTATCCTTCCACGCCCTCCGACTCTGCACACACCGTCCCTCTGCTGACTCGCCCCCTCCCTCCTCTGCCCAGCTAAAACCTCTCCATGCCTGGAAGGGTGAGGTGGCCCCAGAGTAGCTTCCCCATCATAGTTTCACCTGTAGCAGTGACTGAATGAACCAGCTCCCCAACCAGGCCAGAGCCCCAAGGAACAAGAGCTCTAGTCAGCCAGGACTAGGGCAGATGGGGAGGCTCCTAGGCTGCCTATGGGGTCGGAGACAGTAACATTCCCAACTTTGGTGGTGGGAGTGCCAGCAGGGGCTCTCCTGGTCCCTCAGCCCCAGTGCCTCTGCCCCTCTGCCCAGCCCCACTACTTCCATCCATACCCCTCTCATCACCACCTCCTGGGCCCAGCTCTCAGCCTTGGCTGTATTGTGTTTAAGTCCTAAGTTCTGTTATCCTGGGTGGGGTCCTATGGGCCTGGAAGTCCTGCCTGCTGTCCCCTTTGATACCTCAGTCCCAGAACACTTACACTTTGGGGTGCCCAAACCTGTCCAGAAGCCAGAGACCTGCCCCCAGAGGTATGTGCCACCTGGCCTAGACACAGGACTTGGAGGGGTGGTAGGCCCAGAGGGCTCCAAGAGGAGTGGATCAGGTTTGGCAGGACAACCCTAGGCTGGCCTGGGAGTCACACACACACACACACACACACACACACACACCCCTCTTGCATATTCTTCCGCACTTCCTTTCAATTTCCAACTCAATGTTCACAGCCCACCCTGGACGCCCTTCTGACAATCACACATATCCCTTACTTACAGTGGCTGTCTCCTGTTTGTGCTGTCAGTTCCTGGAGAGCAGGGGTCTGCTTTCTTCACTACTCTTTCCCCAGGGCCTAGACCAGGGGGGAGTACCTGGGCCCTAAAGCCATGCTGAGGGTGGACACGCCTGGAGTGGAGGTACTGGTAGGTCCACATTGAGCCAGAATTGGCCCATGCTAGGAACTGTGCACCGTGGAGCTCAGTTTGCCCATCTGTGTAGGAGGATGGGTGGATGACTCCCGATGGTTTCTTGGGCTAGTCCTGCTCAAGGAGCAAGGTCCACCCCTAACAGCACAGGCCTCTTAGAAGAGCCCCTCCCCGCAATAGGCTCTGGGAATTCTCTGAGGTTTGAGGGCTGGGCCTAGTGACCTGAGCCTCCCCGCAACCCCCAGGCCTGAAAGGACAGTGCAGCTGGTGCTAGAGCAGGGCTGGCGGCCCTCCTGAGGCTGAGGGGCCCCAGCTGGTGCTGGAGGGGGCTAGAGGTCCCCCTGCAGCCTGAGGGGCTCCAGCTGCTGGGGGATGATGTGCTGTGGTGGCTCCTAAAATCAGGTGCTTAATCCAGGATGGTGGATTGCTGCCTCCTGCTCCCCACACTGTAGACCTCATCACTTTTTGCAAGCCCCTGTGGAGCACAACTAAGCCTGAGATGGAAACAGCACAAATAGAGTGCCCAAGTGCAGAAGGGAAGGTCAAGGGATGGGCTCCTGTATCTGGTAGCCATTTCCTACCCTCCCCACCCAAGCCCTCCTGGAAAACCAGTGGTGTGTGAGGTGAAGTGCCCCTGACCAGCTCTGGCTTCCTGGCCTTGCAGGGGAGCCCCTAGGCCTCACTCTTAGGGTTATGAATGGGTCAGGCTAGACCACAATGCACTGCAAAGTACAGAGCACACCTGGCTCCCTGTGGGTGAGGGACCCTACCTTCTCCAGGCCAGGAAATGCAAGAATTTGCTTCCAAATCCGTCCACCTGCTGGCTGTGATCCTCCTGTGCCTGCCCACAGCAAAGTTCTGGGGGCTGAGTGGTGAAGGCTGCTGACCCAGGGCCACCTCTCACCACCAAGCACAATGCTGGGGGAGGAGGGGACCTTCAAGGGCCTCATTGTTCCCACCAAAGCTGGGGTCTGAATCCCTGCGATTGTCCCTGGGGGCTGGGCAGCAGGGTGATGCACTTCTCTACTGTCCCAGCAGAGACCTTGGGGCAGAGGCCCAGGGAGGGAAGGGGCTTCTCCAGGCTGCACAAGTTTGGGAAGCCAGCCCAGTGGTGCCCTCAGCAGCTTCCTAAGCTCTCCCTTGAGTGACAGCCTCTGAGTCAGGCTCTCGCCCACTCACCACCTTTCTGGTGCATCTGGGCTCTGGACTTAAGCTCTAGACCCTGATCTCCCTACCTGCCTGATCCTCTACTCTTCTGCCTTGTCCATCTGTCTGAGTCACACCCACAGGAAGGGGGACCCAGTAGCAGTCCACCAGGACATTTACCAGAGATAGGCTGTGGGCCCTGTGGGGGTGGTTTTGGTGGCCTATGATCTCCCACCTCCCACTGTTCTCACTCTGGACCCTGCATCTGGTCCTAGTGGTTGTCCTGGGCCAGGGACAGGATGGGAAGAACTGGGGGCAGGGGGGAAAAGTGAGGCCACAGGAAGTCGAGGGCATACTGTAGGCTTCTCCCAGGCGGGTCAGCAGGTAGACCGTCACAAACACCCTTTCATCTAACCCCAGGGTGACTTCGGGAATTCTGGAAACGTGGCCAGAGCCTGTGAACACTGCCACCATGCCACTTCAGGGCCTGGAGGCTGCAATGGGCGAGGCTTCATGCACTGGGGCTGGCGCTCCTGCTTGGTGTCCAGAGTGCCAGGCCTCTTTTCTCACAGGCTCTCCAAACTGCAGGGTTACAGAAATAGGGAGCCCTCAGCAGAGGCTCCCAGGTGTTCTTCGCACTGCTCTGGGTACGGTGGGCCAGGCCAGGGAGTGCCAGTGCACAAGGCTACCTGGACCAGATGGGAACAAACACCCCAGATCCCACCATCCAGGTTGGCGCCAGTGTTATGGCATAGGGTGCCCTTGCTGCGTCCTACAATGCCCCTACCCGCAGTGCCCAAGTGGTCTCCCCTACTCAGCAAGCACTCCCAAAAGCAATGTGTTCCAGTTCTGACTGAAGCCACAAAAAGGACTGGGATGAAAGACGCCCTGGACTGGGCCGTGTGCCGTCAGCACCCCCTAGTGCCAGCTGTGGGCACTGCAGTGTTTCATGTGGGACTGAGAACTGTATCACCTGGAGCACTCCTCCACAGGCCTGAGCATCTACAAAGTGCCCTGACAGTGCTTTTTTCACTTCACAGCAGCCCTGCAGCAGCAGTGGGAGCAAGACTGCTTCCTGGCAACCTCACACTGATCAATCACAGGAGCCTGGGCCATCAGGCAGTAAGCAGCCCTAGCCCAGAGAGCCTACCTAGCATCACTGTCAGTCATTAAGTGGCCCATTGGTGCTGGCTCCCTGGGTTGCCCACCTGATTTCCCCAGCCCACCCCACAAAAAGCTGACACAGCTCACTAGAGAGAGAGAGAGCAGCTGGGAGGGAGCAGTCTTCGGCCAGGATCCTGATGAGGGACAGTCAGCTTGGGTGGGTGGGACTGTAGTCTTTGCTCCAGGAGCAGTGCTCAGGGCTCTTTCTCATAGAGGATCTCTCCCCTAAGAGCATCCAGGGCGGAGTGTCCAGTGTGGAGAGTGCAGTGGGGCTGACAACCCAGGGGGAGAGGAGAACGAGCAGCCACAACCAGGTAGAGAACAAAAGGACCCAGCCATACCCCATGCTCCAGCCACTTTAAACAGTACGCTAAACCAGTGGTTATTTTATTACAGTGTCAGCCCTAGCTCTGGCCAGGCAGAGCACAGAGCCAAGGGTGCCAGTCGGCAGTCATTGAGGAGTTCAGTGCACCCACAAGGGGGCTGCAAGCCAGGCCAGGAAGGGTGATGGGAAGCCAAGTCGGCCCAGGACCGATGACAGCCTCCCGGGCCATCAGGCCTGAGTCTTGTGGCAGTGCCCAGGCCCAGACTGGCCAGAGCTGCTAGGAGCTGGGCTGCAGCCCCACGCAGGGGCACCTTGGAATGGGGGTGAGGCCTGGAATGCGTCCCATGGAATGACAGCAGACTGAAGAGCCCCTCAGGAGCAGTCGGTCCCTTGAGCTTTCTTGATTTCCTGTCAAGGAGAAAAGGAGGCAACTCAGGTGGGGATCCAGACATGGGAGGGGTCCAGAAGTTGTTTTTGGCTCCCAGGTGACTCCCAATACCAATCAGGCATGGCATGGCTTCACCCAGTGCACAGCTAGCCTCCCACCTATCTGATCATTGGTTTCCTCCTATGTAGAACAGAGCCCTAGCACCTGCCCTCCCCCTTAGGGCTGTGGGGCAGAGAGGGACCCCTGACCTCGAAGAGAGCCTCCTTCAGAATTGAGTAGGCCTTGTCCAGGTTGTCATTGATGATGACGAGGTCAAACAGGCCTGGCTCCTTACCTGAAAACATGGGCAGGGAGTGAGGCATGCCTTCAGAGACAGGGCACTGCCTGGCCCTTTTACTCTGCCCTCTTGTTCCTTCCCCTAGGACCACCTGCCCCACACTTCTGCATATGACAATCATGAACACTTTCCAGGGTCCCTAACTCTGGCTGACTGCTAACTGTAAAAACAGATCTACCATTACCCAGTGTAGCAGGAAACTCTTGACCAGGGACTGTCCTAACTACATTCCACTGTCCTCTCATCTTCTCAACAGTGTTACACACCACCCCAAGCTAGCACTGTGGGGAGGCGCTGCCCACTACTACAAAATGTCCCTCTCCTATTCATACCCCAGGCAGAATCTGCCTCAAGCCCAGGAAGGGACAGCTTCATGTGGAGATCCCTTCAGTGAGCTCATCCCCTTCTCTCTGCTAGGCCCCCAGAAGTCTTGGCGTGCAGTTCTGTGTCAAGGTGCTCCCTTACCCTGTTTTCTGAATGTTTTTCACTCACCAGTCCATTTTTGGTTTTGTTACTTGTGCCTTGCCACAGAAATCTTGTATTAGTTTTAATTTTACTGTAATGTTGCCTCATGACCTCTTAAAAGGAGGTAAGACATTTAAATAAAACTCCTTTTCACATTGGCCTAATAAAGCAGCCCAAGGAAAAGGCCATGAAAAGACTCCCACCACACTCTACCAGTGGGATACTGTTGTCTTGGGACAGATACAGCGCTGTCAGAGGGAGGAGTGTGTCTGGGGAATGACCCTGGGAACTCCAGTGCTGCAAGGGACCAGCCGGGAGACTGTACTCACTGCTCTCCATGTCGACCTTGGCAGTGGCCAGCCGCTTAACAAGGCTCTCCTCTGTCTCTGTGTTCCGGGCTCGCAGCCGCTGCTCCTGAAACATACTCGTGGGGTTGGGGCACCTCCCAGTTGGCTGCCTCTACATACAGCTACCCATGGGATCTGCCTGCCCACCCACCCATGCTCCGCCTGCACAGCCCTACACGCACCAGGACCTCAAGGGAGGGCGCCAGCACACAGATGTAGAGCGGCTGCAGGTCTGTCTTCTTGATGTTTCGCACACCCTGCAGGTCCACGTCCAGCACACAGATGCGATTCATGGCCTGCACTGCCTGGACAGCCGCTTTGCTGCAGGGCAGGAGTTGCTCAGCCATGCTGGGAGACTTGTTTTTCAGGGTTATTGTCCATCTCTACCTTCTTCCAAGGCTGTGAGGAGCCCCACATGGAATCCCGGACAGGGAGGTGAGGAGACCTCTACCCTCCCCATGCAGGCTGACAGCATTTGTATTAGCACTGGTCTTGGTCACATACCTCTCCTGTGGGTCTGCCCCCAGTCACCTGTGGGGCTCACCTTGAGCTGGCACCCATCCCACCTTCCCCGAACATATATTTCTGAGAGGCTAGGGGAAGTTCTGTGAGGTACTTCCTGCAGGCCTGACACCTTTCAGAGATCTCCTTCCTGGCCACTATCTATTGAGCAGCAGCTGGCCAGCCTGCACACTGGTACCCCAGCCAATGTGAACCTTCAGAACAGCTTCCCACAAGGCTGCTTTAATCATGCCCACCAGCTGCTGATGACTGCCACAGCCCCATGTCCAGCTTTGGGTGGTCCTGCTTGGTGAGTGCTAGCTGGTTCCTCACTGTATCTCTGCCCTGTCACACTGCCTCTACTGCCCCTTCTTGTGCTGGCCCTGTCACATACCTGGAGCTGGCCTGGCTGTGGGGCCTAGAGCCCTCCTCCAGAGTTAGCCTGGTCCCTGGCTTCTTTTCCAAGCCCACAGCACACCTAGCTGTGGTGGTGGATGCAACACGCCCTCATCATGCACCACACACCTGCCTGAGGGTGGGCTACCCCATGACCCTACAGCCTGCAAACTGCACACCATAGAGCTGGGTGGCCCGGGGTGCCTGAGAGGGCCTCAGTCTGAGAAGGAGCTCCCTGACTGCCCCTCTCAGGCTGTCTCCAGTGGCCCCATTGCTGCAGCTGAGGCAGAACTTGGAGTGTCACTTACAGTCCCCCACCACCCTTGTACAAAAAAATAGCACAGGGTAGGCATGACAGGGCCTGTCTACCCGCCTGCATAGACTCTGCTCCTGGGGAGCTTGTTAGCTGAGTCCCAGTGGACTCTGGTGGGAGGAAGAGTGGAGATCCTGCTCTCTGGGGACTGCCATGAGCCTGGTCCACAGGCACAGCAGGGAGGGAGGTGCAGTGCACACTACAAGCTTGTGATATCAAAGGCTTGGCGGGCAAAGCCACCACCCAGGCCACTGGTGGGCTGAAGCCAGGCCAGGTGGAAATGCAGGATGCTACCAGTTGCAGCTGCTAGACATGGGAGGATGGGCTGACGGAGACCATCAGGGTAAGGGGCCTGGGACCTGAAGTGCCCCCAGTACCACCCACACCCTGTGGAGAAGTCAGACCACTCCAGGAGACACAGAGTGCTAGACCCACCTTGTCCCATACAGGTTCCCTGAGAACTCGGCATGCTCAATGAAGTCACCTGCAGCAATGTCTCTCTGCATGGCCTCCCTGGTCACAAAATAGTAATCTGGACAGGATATGGGAAAGAAAGGGCACTTTCCAAAGGTTCCACAGCCAGATTCCAGTAGGTGTGAGGAGAGCGGGGCTGAGGACCGAGGCCAGGAAGGCTGTGCTTACCTTTGCCGTTCTCCTCTCCAGGCCGTGGGTTCCTCGTGGTATCTGCAAACAAGTAGCCAATGATTACGCTAGACATGGGTCCAGCCTGTCACATATTGGCTCCCAGGGTCTCTTCCTGGGTGGCGCCACACCAGGCAGCCATGCAGGCTTTGGGCTCCCCAGCAGCAGGACCTGAGCTGTAGAGCAGAGCCACCTGGTGAGGCCCACACCAAATCCTCATTCAGCACTTCCAGGCCAGGCTGTCTCCACAGCCCCATGCAGGAGCTCCCCAGGGACCAGGAAGGCTGAGGAGCTAGGGAGGCCACTAGGTGTGAGAGCCTGCTGTGTGGGGGCAGCCCTCCCTCTCTGGCCCTTCTCTGTGTGGGGGCTGCCTTCCCTGGCCCCTTATGCCAGCCCGTGGCTGCCAGGACTCACGGGACACACTGAAGCCAAAGATAGTGCCATATTCTTGCAGGAGCCTCTTCAGTAGGGTGCTTTTCCCAGCTCCTGATGGGCCACTCAACACGACCGGCCTTGGTCCTGACATCCCTAGGGGGAGGCAAACATCAGGGAGACAGCTCAATCTGGAGCCCCTGTCCTGCAGCTTGTTCCTAGCTACAAAGGAAGGCCTCTGTACCCAGAGTCATGCCAACCCTGGCTGCACTTCCGCACCCTGGGCTGGTTACAATGTAACACATACACATCCATGTTGAATAGGAGACTTCTGAAAATGAAAGCAAAAGAAAAGTAAGGATGACTGGGTTTGATTATATAGCTTTCCAACCTGGAACCAACCTGACCCACCTGTCTGCACAGCCTCCAGAATTAGCCCATGCCCCCCTTGGTGGCACCCTGGTCTGACTGGATGCCCTCCCCGCTAGTATATTTCAGACCACACACTGCTTCTTAGTCTGTCTGTCCACCAACAGCCCTTCCTCTGCCAGCCTCTTGTCTCCCTAACTAGCAAGCAGCCTAAGCCAGGATGTTTTCCATGTATGGCTCTGCCCCCAGGGATGCTGGATTCATGGGATAGATGTGCCCCTTCCTCTTCTCTGCATCTCCTGGCAACAGGCCCTGCTAAGGTGACCCTGTTCTGGGAGCTTCCAACCTAGGGGCATGCCCACAAGCTAGCATGGGTGGCTGACCCCCTGACAGTCAAGTACTTTATGAGCCTCACCTCTGAAGCCCCCAACCCCAATACAGAAAGGGTGACAGGGACTCAAATGTTGGCCACAGCTCCCTCCCTTCTGCAGAGCCCAGACTGGGAAGGTGTATAGACAGTGGGGTTCAGACTCAGGCTGCAGAAAAGGGCACGCTAGGGAGTGAAGGGAGAGAGCCTGGTGGGAAACCAGGGTGCCTTCAGCACCACCTCTAGGCCCTGACACACCAGCAGCACCAGTGCACTCAATCCGGGATCTGAATTCGGCCCAGATGGCATCTGGCCTTCCTCACTGCTCTGTGAGCACCTCCCGGAAAGACGAGCCTACAGGCCCACACAGGCAGGCATACCTGCTCTCAACAACCAGACCTCCAGCTCCGTGGCCCCTGCACCTCACACTGCACTCAACCCCCACTCCTTTATCCCACACTCGCCCGGCACCAGTAGCCAGCCCCCCCCTCCACATCCTCTGCCCTGCACCCCACACCATCCCACACCTCACCTTGCCCTGGTCTGCACTCTGCACCTTCTACACCTCACTCTACACTCTGCACCTTGCCCCACACCGTGCCTTTCAGTCCACACCCTGCCTTGTACCTCACACATTGCCTCCTGCCCTATACCTTGCCTCAGACTCCATACCCCAACCTGTACCCTGCACCACCTTCCTCCCAGAAGCACGTTTCAACTCCGGTGTTAATTCTACCAGGCAGCACAACCCACCTCCTTAATGGTGCTTTGACCCTGTTCTGGGTGTCAGGGGTGTGCCCTGCGTCCAGCACCAGCCAGGAGGCCCCACAGATAAGCAGCCCAGATGCAAATGGCTCAGAACTGGTGGATTAAGCCAGTACTCTTAAATCCCTGCTGGCCTCTGCCCTCCACCCTCCTGAGCATTAAGTCTTGAAGTAGGACCTGACTGTGTTAAAGCCTCCCTCCCACCTCCAGGGACACAAGCCTGCAGCTCCACTATACAGGGATGAGAAGCCAGTGCAGGGACAGGAAGCCAGTTGCAGGGATGGGAAGCCAGCGCAGGGACGGGAAGCCAGTGCTGCTGCTTCCTGCCCTTGAGAAGCCATGTATCCAGCCCATTCACGTAAGCATGATGAGATATGAAGTCAAAGGAGGCTAATACCCTTCATGCTTAACTGGCAAGAAGCAAGGAGGGTATAGAACAGAAATCCAGGTTGGCAAACACTTGCTCCCACTGAGTGCTGGGCTCTGGGCTAGAATTCAGAACGGAATGGAGTAGCCCTGCGCGGGGAAGACAAACTGGTGGAAGCATCAAGGGTTGGGGAGGTTTGAGGGTGGGCCTGGGTAAGCAGTGAAGTGCCCGGGTAAGGGGCTTCCAGGAGCAGGAAGAGCTTCCAGAAACTTCCCTGACAACTACAGCCATCCATCAACAGGGAGCTCCCTGAACCCAACAAAGGTAGGCTGCCTGCTGAGGGTCTGAGCCTGCAGGTTCTTCCTGTGATGCCCACCTGGCACAGGGCAGAGGTCCCACTGTGCATGCAGCTCAGCTGGCCAGTAGACCAGCAGGCAGGCCCAAGAGGGAAGGGCCACTCAGGCTGCCACACCCTGAGGTGAGGCCTAGCCCACTGCAGAGGGTGACCCAGCACCCACAGGCAGCTCTCCAGAAGAAGGCAGGCCCTTGAGCACTATTCTTTCTTAATCTGCAAAGTAGACCACCACAAAGTTAATCAGCCTAAACCATCTTACTCTAATTACTTACACACACACCTTTGAAAAGCCTACAATGTTAAGTCATAAAAGGTAGGAAATTTCACACTACATGCAGAAATTAACTCAAAATTAGATAAAGGGCGTTACTATTTTTCTGGCATGATAAAACTGTTAGAAGAATATGTGGAGGTAAATCTCCATAACTGTGGATTTGGCAATGAATTCTTAGATATGACACCAAAAGCAAGTGCAAGTGCAACAAAAGAAAAATATATATAAACTGGACTCCATCAATATTTAAAATTTTTGTGCATCAAAGGACACTTATCAAGACAGTGGTAAGACAACCCACAGAATGCAAGAAATATTTGCAAATCATGTATCTGATAAAGATCTACTGTTTAGAATACAAGGATCCCTGGTGGCACAACTGTTAAGCACTCAGCTCCTAAATGAACCCACCCAACAGCTCCTTAGGAGAAAAGCCTTGGTAATCTAATCCTGTAAAGATTACAGCCTATGGGGCAGTTCTACTGTGTCATATGGGGTCACTCTGAGTCGGAATCAAGCCAAGGGCACACAACCACATTCAGAATAAAGAACTTTTACAACTCAACAACAAAAAGACAAACAATAACATCGCAAAGGGTGTGAATAGACATTTAATCAAAAAAAACATACAAATGGCCAATAAGCAAATGAAAAGATGCTTAATATCATTGGTCATCATGAGATTGTGGCACAGTGAATTACTTAATATGGCCCTTTTAGCCACAGTTTTTGTAACTACCACCAAATGACTGGGTCTCTCTCACTGCCACTGAGTCAAATCCGACTCATACTGACCTGGGTAGGACTATGCAAATGTGGTGCTTGTGGCCCACCAAGGGGATTGGCTAGCTTGCTAATAATGTAAATAAGGTGCATGGCACTCTAACAGGAGGATTGGTCACTTTTGCCCTGCTGCTAGGCTTAAAAGACAGCCAATTCCAGAGGAAAGGGGGATATCACCACCACAAAGAGCCAAGAATGGAGTGCTTCCTTTGGACTCAGGAACTCTCTGTCGAAAGCCTCCTAGATCCAGGAGACAAAGACAGAGAGAAAGAGGGCTGTAACTTCGACATGAGAGATGGCAAGAAGCAGAGGCAAAAAAATGGTGGGAGCAGAACCAAGAGACCCACGGGACTGTGGTGAACTTCCTGACCTATGGATTGACCAAGTGCCTTCAGGCAAGAGGCTTGTTAGCAGAAGGGGGTGCCTCCAGGCACTTGGTGGAACTACAGCTGAGTACCTTTGGGCCAAGGTTTACTAGCATTGTGGAGGTGTCTTTGGGCATTTATTGGCAAAGCTAAGAGAGCTTTCTAACACTTGCTGGAGCAGGGCAGAGGTAGACCATGGGCTGAGGCACAGAGAGGCCTAAGATGCAGGCTTGACTAAGACACTGTCCTGATCCAAGAACTGTGTCCTGAGTTGTTTCTGATTCTGAATTGTAACCTATTACTTCCCTAATAAATGACATAATCGTTGAGTACTGTCTGCAAGTTCTGGGTGGCCACTGCAATGAATTACCAAATCTAGCAGAGATACAGAGTGCCGTAGGAGGGATGGTTGCTGTCAGAATTGGTAAAGAGGTTGGAAGGTGGAAACATGTCAGACTTCCATCTCATAATCAGCCTTGGGCTATTGATGCAGATGATTCTCTCTCCCCCTTGTGAAGTCAGAGGTCAGAGGCCTTCTCCGTGCCATTTTTACAAAGAAGCAAATCAAAACCACAATGGATGCCACTTAACCCTAAGTGGGATGACTATGATTTAAAGCAAGGAAGTCTTAGGGCAGATGTAGAGAAACTGGAACTACTGTACATTGTTGTTGTTGTTGTTATGTGCCATCAAGTCGGAATCGACTCACAGCGACCCCTCCTTGGGTTTCCAAGACAGTATCACTACAGAAGTAGATTGCCCAACCTTCCTTCCAAGGAGTGGCTGGTGGGTTTGAACAGCCAACCTTCTGGTTAGCAGTCAAATGCCTTAGGCACTATGCTACTGTACATTGCTAGTGATAATGTAAAATGATACTGCTGCTATGTAAAACAGTTTACCATATGACCCAGCAATTCCACTCCTAGGTATATACCCAAACAAATGAAAACTGGTTATTAGCAGCACTATTCACAATAGCCAAAAGGTGGAAACCACCCAAATGTTCACCAAGGGATGAATGGATAAACACAATATGGTATGCACATACAAGGAATGATACTCAATCATAAAAAGGGATGAAGTTCTGATGAATGCTACAACCTGGATGAATCTTGAAAACACTGTGCCAAGTGAAAGAAGCCAGACAGAAAAGGCCACATATTGTATGATTCTATTTATATAAAATATCTTGAATAGACAGATCCACAGAGACAGAACACCCGTTGCTAGCTGCCAGGGGCTAGAGGAAGTATGGGAATGAGAAAAAAAAAAAA